GTTGCTTTGGTTCCAGTTTAGAGAAACATAAAAGGAAGGTAATACATGAACCAAGAAGCACTTCACTTCCCGCCAGGTAAAACGCTGGAATGTAGGAGTTTGATTTGTCCGCTAGAATACCTATAAAGTGTTATTGAAGACGAAAAAAGCGAAAATGCCTGAAAATTTGAAAACGGTTATAATACGGATTATTGAAGTCACTGGGAATTTTTAAAGCAGCTCAGCTTGTTAGTTTTTCAAAGTCCTAACAAGTTTACAATTTTGTAGACAATGTACATCGAACAATATACGCACCAAAATTAAATAATTGATTAAATCGAACAAACAAAAAAAGAAAATTTAGGAATACATTAAAATAATGATAACAATGAAAATGAAATGAAAAGTTAAAGTAAACAATACTGTGAGAGAAATATTGGGTTATATTCAATTACATGTGTGCATACATGCATACAAACATTATTAAATGAAAACACATGAAATATCAATCAAATAATGTATCTTTTCATTTCTTTTGTCTCGGTTTGAAAATCTCATAACGGTTCTCTCGGAGCTTCCTGGAAGTTTGTTTACAATAGGCCTCTTTAGCTTGTATGCTTTGTTTTCCTAATGGGTGTCCCAGGGTTACTTGACTCTCTATCTCTTCATAAATTATGCTAAGATATACACGTGAATAAGAAATAGTTTTAAAAAACAGTTCTCTAGAATATCATCACGTGACCTGTAATGGGAAGAAACAAAACATACCAGCTAAAAAGATCTATTGACTGTTTAGGGCCCGTATAAGGGGCGATCTGCACCTACTTCAAAGATTGTTTGTGATTGGCTTGAGAAACAATAGGGATTGTGACAAACAATGCCCCTATCCCTGAAAACAATGGAAGTGCAGATTATATGGGACCCATGAAATAAGAGGTTTAGTACGGTGAAGATCAACCGCCGTATACATGGAGTTAGGAGTTCCCCAGTGGGTGAGGTATCCCGCATAGTCGGGGTAACCGCCAAAAACCCACCCGTCCAAATAATTTCTCATTTCAATTAAATCGCACTAACATGTTAGGTGGGGTGACCCGCTGAGATAACACAATCCCTCTAATACTGACCTGCAACAGACGGTCCAATCGTCAGAGTTAGTGATACAAGGCAGTTGGCATAACCAAAGGCAGTCGCTCTTACTTGTGGACTAACAGTAGTTAGAAGAACGAGATTGATCTGGGATCCAATTAAACCATCAAGAAATCCGTCAACAATTGAAAACACCACAAAGGCCGAGTAAGCTCGTGCCAAAGGAAGAAGCAAAATGGTGATAGCTACACCAAGGGAACCCACTTGTATCAGGTGTAGGGAGCTGACGCATTTGCAGTCGCCTAATCTACCAATAAGAAGCCGTGCTGCAAACGAGGCTATACCAAAAAACATGATGAGTCTGGCTGCACTATCACCATCGATACCCAGTTCTCTGCAGTGTTTCACCTTCAAGGCAAAAAATATATATTAAAAAAAAAAGGGTATATGAAGAAAATGTCATCTTAATAGCTCTTTTTTCTTTTATAATATATTCCTAGTTTTCAGCAAGACATGTAACTCAGCAACAGTCGATTATACTACTCTGTCCTTCCAGTCAAATGCTAGGAAAGGAACAATAGAATTCAACATGCAGGTTTGCAACCCCAAATCAAATTATCTTTTGTTTGGTTGATAAAAAAACCTAAACTTAAGATTCAAATTATAAACATTACAGAAGCTTAAAACCTTTTCCAAAAAGGCGAAATTAGGTTAGCCAAGTTAGGAGTCTGAAAGTACAAGGAACAGCAACTCCTTTATATATAGATATTGCATCCATAGGTTTCTAATTTTACTAGCAGTGGGCCTACGCCCAAGCTTCTGTGTTAAAGATAGAAGTTAGTTGGTCGTTGAACACACTTGCCTGTCACATTATTACATTATTGCCTGACATATCTGATCTGTTCCTGGACGGTTCTCCGGATGGCACTGTTATGATCGGTGGAAATTTGAATAATATAAATCTCGACAAACTCTCAGCGTTAAGTGGTCTCACAGCATTGGTTGACTTCCCCACGAGGGGCACTTCTATTCTAGACAACTGCCCGACAAACAACTGCAGCTTATTCTCAAAGTGTTATCCCTTTGACGCTCAAATAAAGACTGATCACAGAGGCGTTATTGTGCCTGCAGCCGCGAAACTTAAGCCCATGAGATACAAATTCACAATACACGATTACAGGGAGCATAGAAAAATTGCGTTTCATGCAAAACTTCTAGAACAAAGCTGGGACGTTATTTTTGACAGCGAAGATGTGGAATCTGCTTCTCGTTACTTGCAATCAACGCTCCGTGACGTTATGAATGAAAACTTTCCAGCTAAAACCGTGGGTATATCTACGCGTGATCCACCATGGATGACACCGCTGGCCAAATCTCTGCTTAAGAAAAAAGCCATGGCCAAATGCCGCAGCCCGGATGGACACCCAATTAATCTTAAAGAAAGAATTAACGCGATAGTTACGAAAAATCGTAAATCGCTTGCGTGTGGAAAGATGGGCTCTAAGGCCTGGTGGAAAAAGGTCGATGCGCTGTCAAAGAGAAAAGAAAGATCCAACCCAAGCTTTGACGAGGACTCTGTGAGAGAACTTAAATCAGTGAAAGGTTCCGGCAATTCTACTTTTCTAGAAAAAGATCAACTCTTCTACTTGAAAAGAGCAGAAAAATTAACTATCAGCATTTATTTTTCATAGAACAACATGCAAAATTGTTACCTTTTTTGTTAATGCTAGTCGATCAGGTGAAAAGTTAAAAAAAGGTACCTTTTTAGAAAAAAAAAAAGCGGGTTTTTTAAGCTTTCGAGTGAAAATATTTTGACGTCAATGTTGTCCACTTTTCATCCATTTCTCACGTTACTACACAAAACTATAAAGCGCCAAAAAGGTATCTTTTTTCAGTTTGAAGCGATCTCTTCAAAAGCGCGAAAAAGGTACCTTTTTTTCAGTTTGAAGCGATCTCTTCAAAAGGCGAAAAAAGGTACCTTTTTTTCAGTTTGTAGCAATCTCTTCAAAAGCGCGAAAAAGGTACCTTTTTTAGGGTTTAGAAACGTTCCTATCAAAAGCGCGAAAAAGGCACCTTTTTTGCGATTGGAAGCGATGTTCTCATAAGTGCGAAAAAGGAACCTTTAAAAATAAATGGCGTTTTCAAAATATATTTGAAAGCCGTTTTAAATCCTACTGATTGACAGATGTCAACCGTTTGGCGCCATTTATTTTGCTTGAATTGACTGACCCACTAGTCAAGAGACAAATATGGCGGAATATATGGAAAGCAATGTCACTTTAATAAGGAATCTCATTGAAGACAATAAAACGTAGTTTAAATATCATGTCCAAGTTTGTCACTGAAACTGTGGCATGCCGAAGTTTTAAAACCTTTTCCCGGTGTTTGACTTTCACATAAGTGTGAACCATCTTGATGTCTAAGTTGCGTTGGAAGCGTTGTCACTGGTTCAGTGGGCGGCCCGTGATATTTGAACGTGGTTTTCAATAGATGACAGGTGTCAGTTATAAGTAACTTGAAGAGAAGGGCAGGGCTTTTGTACCTTATGCTTTTATTTTCCCACTACAATGTTCCACCTTAATCAATAATGCTCCATTTTTTCGACTAAAATGTTCGCTTCTCCCCCAAAACGTCACTAAAATGCTCGATAATGCTCATTATACAGAGTCTTCTTTATTAATTTTACGCTATCAAAAACGTATTAAGTGGTATAACAACAACGTATATGTTGCAGTTAATGATTTTAATGCAACAACCGATAAACCCTTATTATAAACGGTTGTATTAGGGTGGCATTTGAATTTTCTTCTTTTTTAAATATCGACTTTAAGTGTTCATTTTCTCTTTAAAAGTTTTCATTTTCATTTTCTCTGAAAAAAAATGATAATAATTTTCACGGAAAATTCCACTAAAATGCTCCAAAAAATGCTAGCATTATTAATGTAAAATATCTGAGAAGGGGAAATAAAAGCTTTTCAGGCTTAATTTAGTGTAAGTAAGGGGGTCTCAAAAGGATTGTGGCATTTACGGTTAATAGATTTACTTCGGCTTGCGGCTCAAAAGTCACCCGAGGTCAAATTCGAAATCTAGCTAGTTTGCATTATTGAAAAACAGTTTATTAAACCACTGGACTGAAGTCTCTAATAACCCGTTCCGGAGTGAAAAAAGGCACCCACGAAACAAANAAAAAAAAAAAGCGGGTTTTTTAAGCTTTCGAGTGAAAATATTTTGACGTCAATGTTGTCCACTTTTCATCCATTTCTCACGTTACTACACAAAACTATAAAGCGCCAAAAAGGTATCTTTTTTCAGTTTGAAGCGATCTCTTCAAAAGCGCGAAAAAGGTACCTTTTTTTCAGTTTGAAGCGATCTCTTCAAAAGGCGAAAAAAGGTACCTTTTTTTCAGTTTGTAGCAATCTCTTCAAAAGCGCGAAAAAGGTACCTTTTTTAGGGTTTAGAAACGTTCCTATCAAAAGCGCGAAAAAGGCACCTTTTTTGCGATTGGAAGCGATGTTCTCATAAGTGCGAAAAAGGAACCTTTAAAAATAAATGGCGTTTTCAAAATATATTTGAAAGCCGTTTTAAATCCTACTGATTGACAGATGTCAACCGTTTGGCGCCATTTATTTTGCTTGAATTGACTGACCCACTAGTCAAGAGACAAATATGGCGGAATATATGGAAAGCAATGTCACTTTAATAAGGAATCTCATTGAAGACAATAAAACGTAGTTTAAATATCATGTCCAAGTTTGTCACTGAAACTGTGGCATGCCGAAGTTTTAAAACCTTTTCCCGGTGTTTGACTTTCACATAAGTGTGAACCATCTTGATGTCTAAGTTGCGTTGGAAGCGTTGTCACTGGTTCAGTGGGCGGCCCGTGATATTTGAACGTGGTTTTCAATAGATGACAGGTGTCAGTTATAAGTAACTTGAAGAGAAGGGCAGGGCTTTTGTACCTTATGCTTTTATTTTCCCACTACAATGTTCCACCTTAATCAATAATGCTCCATTTTTTCGACTAAAATGTTCGCTTCTCCCCCAAAACGTCACTAAAATGCTCGATAATGCTCATTATACAGAGTCTTCTTTATTAATTTTACGCTATCAAAAACGTATTAAGTGGTATAACAACAACGTATATGTTGCAGTTAATGATTTTAATGCAACAACCGATAAACCCTTATTATAAACGGTTGTATTAGGGTGGCATTTGAATTTTCTTCTTTTTTAAATATCGACTTTAAGTGTTCATTTTCTCTTTAAAAGTTTTCATTTTCATTTTCTCTGAAAAAAAATGATAATAATTTTCACGGAAAATTCCACTAAAATGCTCCAAAAAATGCTAGCATTATTAATGTAAAATATCTGAGAAGGGGAAATAAAAGCTTTTCAGGCTTAATTTAGTGTAAGTAAGGGGGTCTCAAAAGGATTGTGGCATTTACGGTTAATAGATTTACTTCGGCTTGCGGCTCAAAAGTCACCCGAGGTCAAATTCGAAATCTAGCTAGTTTGCATTATTGAAAAACAGTTTATTAAACCACTGGACTGAAGTCTCTAATAACCCGTTCCGGAGTGAAAAAAGGCACCCACGAAACAAAACAGTTATTATGATAACCCGCTCAGTTTTGACTTAAAAGGAAAAAAACACTTCTCTGCTGTTTGTCGTAGATCGACGTAGAATCTGATTTTTTTTTTTCGCAGATTAAAATGGTTCGACTTTTCATATAGGACTTTTTTTAAGTCTTCGCTCCACGCTTAAAAATGGGCCGGCTTGCTTAGGTCCTCCACATGCATCTAGTTTGAAAGAACCAGTAGCTATTTCATCCATTTGGATGGTAGCCAACATTTTCGGATCTCTTCAGTTTTTTTCAGTCCGATGATTCCCCATAGTAGACCCTTGTCCACGTACGTAGGTTGGAAAATATGCCAATAATGCACGACGCGATAATTAAAATAGTGTGCGTCCGAGCCATTTCTGCTAAATAGCCGGGGCCATTGAGGAACAGCCCCCCATAGAGGTGTTTCTAGGGCAGTCTAGGATGGGTTTTGCTCGTTTTAATTGTACAAACGGGACATAAAGTCCCCTAAAAACGTCTGTGTATCGTTCGTTAGGGGCGCCAACGGTTGCTTGACATCTGTCAATCAGTAAGACTTTAATTGAAACGTCATTTATTTTTAAAGGTACCTTTTTCGCGCTTTTGATGAGATTGCTTATGACCGCAAAAAAAGTCCCTTGTTTGCTCTTTTGATAGGAGCGTTTCTAAACCGCAAAAAAGGTACCTTTTTCGCGCTTTTGAAGAGATCGATTCCAACTGAAAAAAAGGTACCTTTTTCGCGCTTTTGAAGAGATC